AATTCCTAACACAATGGGATAATGATTTGCGTAGGCAAAGGGAAGTGGGGTATTAGGGGTCCCCACAAGGAAGTAGGGATTGGGTGTCCTGACACCCCATATTATGTCTCTCTACCACTTTTTGCCATATGAGAGGAGAACACATGTACTTCTTAAAATAAGACAAGATATCCTTAGAAAATGTTAGCTTGACTTTCAAGATGATGCATGTGAGTTTCTGCTTCAAATTTTGAAGTGGACATTTTCCCTTCTAGAATGATCATCTCCCATTTTTCTAGGAAACCTCTAGCATCAAGAAGCTGTTTGTGAAAAATAACTGAACAAGTAAAATCCTTTCAGAAAAAAAAAAAAACCTCACTGACTTGAAATATCTTTCTAGTCAGCAAGGATGGACTTGGTAAAATGAAGTGAGATAGTAAACTTGGGGTCTGGATCTCTCTTATTTTACTTCGAATTTCCTCATCAGCATAATAAAGGGGATGTGTACTTGGCAATTGCTAGTATTTATTTTGGTTTGAATATTCTATGATTGGAGAGGCAGCATATTTCAATTTAGGATTGGCAAATATTAAGCTTGTCTATTGCATCTCTTGATGGTTACATTCCTAACAGATACCTGTAATCAATTGTGAAAGTTTTTCCTGCTAATCTTGGAATCCCAAGGCCTTAGAAACCTTTGCAGCACAGAACTTTGAGCAACCATTATCCATCAGATGAAGACAAAATTTTAGCAACATTCCAGACATGATGGATAGATATGTAGTGACAGAGAGGGCAGGACAGAGTTCTGGTTCTGTGTCTGTCTGGACACATCTGTGTAACCCTTGAGAAGTAAACTACATATTTGAAAATTAAACTTGATATACATTTTTGTGTGAAAATAAGTTGTTGTTTTTTTTCTTAGACGGAGTCTTGCTCTGTCGCCCAGGCTGGAGAGCAGTGGTGCCATCTTGGCTTACTGCATGCAACCTTTGCCTTCCGGGTTCAAGAGATTTTCCTGCCTCAGCCTCTCGAGTAGCTGGGATTACAGGCATGTGACACCGCACCAGGCTAATGTTTCCTATTTTTAATAGAGACGGAGTTTCACCATATTGGCCAGGCTGCTCTCGAACTCCCGATCTCAGGTGATCCATCTGCCTTGGCTTCCCAAAGTACTGGCATTACAGGTGTGAGCCACTGTACCTGGCCTGTTTTCTTTAGGATAAATGACTAGGGGTGAACTTGCTAAGTCACATGGTAATTGCACATTTAGTTTTTAAAGACATTGGCGAACTGTTTTTAGTGTGGCTGTAACATTCCTGTTAACATTTGAGTGATCCAGTTTTTCTGCTTCTTCCCAGCATTTAGTGTTGTCACTAGTTTTAGTTTTGGCCAGGCTGAGACATACGTAGTGATCATCTAATTGTAATTTTAATTTGCATTTTCCTAATGGCTAAGAAGATTGAACATCTTTTCACGGGCTTTTATGCTGTCTGTATATCTTCTGTGAAATGTCCTTAGCTCATATTCTAATTGGATTGTTTTTTTTTTTTTACTTTTAAGTTTGAGAGTTCTTTACGTATTCTAGCACTAGTCCTTTGTTGCAATATTTTTTTCCTTTGGTCAGTCTTGCTACAGATTTGTCAGTTTTTTCTTTTCTTTTCTTTCTTTCTGTTTTTTTTTTTTGAGACAGGGTCTTGCTCTGACAGATAGGTTGGAGTGCAGTGATGTAAACACAGTGCACTGCAGCCTCAATCTCCTGAGCTTGAGCAATCCTCCTGCCTCAGCCTCCTGCGTAGCTGAGACAATGGCTAATTTTTTTTTTTTTTAGACAAAGTCTCTTACTGTTGCCCAGGCTGGAGTGCAGTGGTGTGATCTCAGCTTCCACCTCCCGGGTTCAAGCAATTCTCCTGAGTAGCTGGGATTACAGGCACACGCCACCATGCCTGGGTAATTCTGTATATTTAGTAGAGCTGGAGTTTCACCATGTTGGCCAGGCTGGTCTCAAACTCCCGACCTCAGGTGATCTACCCACCTTGGTCCCCAAGGTGCTGGGATTACAGGCAAGAGCCACTATGCCCAGCCTTTTCTCATTTTTTTTGTAGTTGCTGTGTTGCCCAGGCTGATTCTGAACTCCTGGGCTCAAGCAATCTTGCTGCCTTCGTTCCCCAAGTGCTGGGATTACAGGCATTAGCCACCATGCCTGGTCTAATTTTCTTTATTGTTTTTCTGTTTTCAATGTCATTGATTTTGACTCATATTTTTGTTATTTCCTTGCTTCTGTCTTGCTCTTTTTTTTCCGCCTAGCTTCTTGAAGTAAGAGTTTGGGTCATTTATCTGAGGCTTTTCCCCACCTTTAATGTATACGTTTAGTGCTATAAATCCCTCTCTCGGTATTGCTTTATTTGCGTTTTTGTCAATTCAATATATTTTCAATTTCTTTTGAGCCTTCCTCTTTACTGAAAGATTATTTATAAGTGTGCTATTCAGTTCCCAAGTATTTGGATCTTTTCTTTTCTTTTTTGAGATGGAGTCTTGCTCTGTTATCCAGGCTGGAGTGCAGTGGTGCAATCTCAACTGCTGCAAACTCCGCCTCCTGGGTTCAGGCAATTCTCCTGCCTCAGCCTCCCAAGTACCTGGGATTACAGGCGTGCACCACCGTGCTCAGCTAATTTTTGAATTTTTCTAGAGACAGAGTTTCACCATGTTGGCCAGGTTGGTCTCAAACTCCTGACCTCTAGTGATCTGCCCACCTTGGCCTCCCAAAGTGCTGGGGTTATAGGCATGAGCCACTGTGCCTGGCTGAATATTTTCCTCTTAGTGTTCTGTTATTGCCTTTCAGTTTGATTCCATTGTGGTCACTGAACTCACTTTGTATGATTCTAATACTTCAAAATTTTTAGGTTTGTTTTATGATCCTAGACATATGGTCTATCTTGGTATATATTTTCTGAGTGCTTGAAAATAATATGTATTCTTTTGCTGTTGAGAAGAATGCCCTAAAAATATTAGACAGATTCTGTAGATTAATGGGATATTGTGTTCTTCTGTAGTCTTTATATTTTCTGTCTAGTTGTTCTGTCAACTGTTGAGAGGAGAGTGAAGACTTTAACATAATTGTATATTTGCCTATTTCTCCTTTCAGTTCTATATGTTTTTGCTTTTTGCTTCACATGTTTTGTAGCTCTGTTGTTTGGTGCACACTTACTTAGGATTACTATGTCTTTTTGGTGGACTCCTTTTTTTTTTTTGTCTTTCTATAATGTCGCTGTCTGTCTCTGGTCATATTTTTGGCTGTGAAGTCTACTTTATCTCATATCAATATAACCAATCTTGCTTTTCTTTGATTAATGTTTCCATGATACATCGTTTTTTTTTTTTCATCCTATTTACCTATATTATTATTGTTTCTTAGGGGCAGCATGTAGTTGGGTTGTATTTTAAAACCTACATGCTGGGTTTTTTTGGGGAGTGTATTTAGATCATTTATATTTGATGCAATTTTATATGTATAATTTGATAATTAATTTAATAATTCACATATATACATATATATGTATGTAACTAGACTTTATTTTTAGAGCAGTTTTAGAGTCACTGAAGAATTGAGCAGAATGTACAGAGAGCTCCAGTGTATCCCTCAGCCCCATACCTTGTGACTTCCCCCACTATCTACACCACAGTGGTACATTTCTTGCAACTGAAGAATCTACATTAACATACTATTATCACTAAAGATTTGTCATTTACATATATGTATGTAAATGTGTGTGTATTATTTGTTTTTAAGTGTTTTTTCCCAGATATTATATTACATATACATAAACTTTTCAAGTGGCTGGTGTTGTCATTTTACCAGCTTGAGTGAGATATAGAAATCATATCTCCTTTTACATTCCTTTACCCTTCTCCACTTATAATAGAATTGTTTAAAATATTTCCTTGACATACATTTGGAACCGTATCAGACAGTGTTATATGTTTCAATGAATAAATATAAATTAGAAAACTCAAGGGTTTTCTGTTTATTTTTTGCTTAGCATATTCTTTATAGTTTTCTTCCTTTTAAGAACACTTTTAAAAACCATTCTTCTGGCAACAGATTATTTTAATTTTTATTCATCTGAACATTGCTTGATTTCTCCTTCATCCCTGAAGAATATTTTTGTGGGATATAGGATTCTGGGTTGACAGTTCTTCCCTTTCAGCATTTGAAATATCGTGCCATTTCTTATTGGTCACTGTGGTTTTTGATGAGAAATCAACTGTAATTTGAACTAGGTAAGGTGTCATTTTTCTATGGTGTTTTTAAGATTTCATCTTTGTCTTTAGTTTTAAGAAGTTTGATCATGATGTCATGTGTCCTGATGTGGATTTCTTTGGGTTTATCTTGTTTTGGTGTTTGGCCATCTTGAATCTATAGATTTGTCTTTTGTCAATTTTGGAAAGTTTTCACTCATTATTTCTTTGAGTACTTCTTTAGCCTCACCTTCTTTCTCCTTTCCTTCCAGGGTTCCAAATACACAAATGGTAGATCTTTTGTTACAGTCTCACAGATTCTTGAGGCTCTGTGCATTTTCTTCAGTCTATTTTCTTTATTGTTATTTAGGCAATGTCTAATGTTTTACCTTCCAGATAACTGATTCTTTCCTCTTTCCTGTCCATTCTTACAGTCAGCCTCTTCACTGAGCTTTTTTATACTGACTGTTGTATGTTTCAGTTCTATAATTTCCATTTGATTCTCCTTTATGTCTTCTATTTCCTTCTTGAAACTTTGTATTTCTTTGTTGAAATTTACTATTTTTTCACTTATTTCAAACATGTTTATATTGCCCATTAGAGCATTTAAAAATTATGGCTCCTTTAAAATTTTTTCCCGGTAAATTTCAACATCTCTGTCAGTGGTAGTTGCATCTATTGATTGTCTTTTTTCATTTACTTTGAGATCTTTTTGGTTCTTGGTATGATGAATAATTTTTTATTGAAACTGGGACATTAAAATATGTTTTGAGACCTTGATTTTTTTTATGGAATGCTTCATGAATTTGCATGTCATCCTCATGCAGTGGCCATAGTAATTGTCTCTGTATTATTCCAATTTTAATATTTGTGCCGTTGAAGCAAAAATACGATATGGATCTTATTTAAGCTGCTTTTCCTGCTACTGCTCTAGGAAGAGAAAGGGAGGTCTGTGCTGCATCATTTCTGCCAGTTGGAGGTGAAATACTGATACCTCACTTGGCTTCTGATGACATCCAAGGAGGAAACTCTTCACTATTGATGGGCAGTGGTGGGAGGTCAGCTTCCCATGTGGTCTCCACTGATACTGCAATGGGGGTGATTTCATTGCTGCTGGTCAATGGTGAACATCATGACTCTTCATTAGACCTCTTCTAAAACCTCTCTAGCAAAAAGAAAGGGGAGTTTCATTTTTGCCTATAGAGGGGAAAGTCTACACTTTGCATGTGGTCTCCACTGACACTGTGGGAGGCAGGGTTTTGTTACCAGCCAGTGGCAAGTTTTCTTTTCTATAATGTCTTTGTCTAGCTTTAGTGTTAGAATACGTCTGGCCTCACAGAATGAGTTTGGAAGTGCTCCTTTCTCTTACCATTTTAGAAGAGTTTGAGAAGTGTTGGTGTTAATTAAAAATATATATATTGGGTAGAATTCACTAGTGATGTGAATTCTGGAAGATTGTTGGGAGGCTTCTGATTTCACTATCCTTACTAGTTATAGGTTGTTATGGCCTGAATGTGGCCCCCTCCCCACCCCCTGCCATTCCTGTATTGAAGACGTAACCTCTACTACCTCAGGATGTGACTATATTTGGAGATAGGACTTCTATAGCAGTAGTTAATTAAAACGGGATTTTAGGGTTGGCCATAATCCAATATGTGTCTTTATAAGAAGAGATTAAGACATGGACAGAGACACCAGATATGTGTGTTCTTTTGGTATCAGGGTAAGGCTGGCCTCATAGAATGAGTTAGGTGTTCTTTCCTCATCAAATAAGACACAAAGGAAAGGCCGAGTGAGGACAAAGTGAGAATGTGGCCATCTGCATGTGGCCATAGGCCTTGGAAGAAATCAAACCTTCAGACACCTTGATCTTGGACTTCAGCCTCCAGAACTGTGGAAACATAAATTTCCATGGTTTAAGCGGCATAGTCTGTGGTATTTTGTTATGACAGCCCTAGTAAACTAATATGTAGGCCTATTCAGATTTTCTATTTCTTCATGATTCAATGTTGATAGGTTATATATTTCTAGGAATTCAATTATTTTATCTAGGTTGCCAATTTGTTGATATACAATTGTTCATAGTACTCTTTTACACCTCTTTTTATTTCTGTAAAATTGGTAGTAATGTTCCTTCTTTCATTTCCTGCCTTCGTTTCTGTGGTTGTTGACGAGAGTTGAGGATTTATTATCTACCAGTTTTCTGTCTTGCTAGGCTGTCCATTTCCTGGTTCTTTGGCCTTTCCTAGTTGCCTGCTTCAGGCAAAAAGAAAATGCAGGGAACTTGCCATTTTGCCGTTCCTTGAATACTGAATTCCTCAGTCTATTAAATTTATAATATGAAGGATAAAGAGTTGTACTTTTCAGAAGGAATATGGAGAAGTACTTTTCCATCTTCCTGAGTGCAGAAATGTCAGTGTTTATAGTTATTTGTGAAATGCGAGGACTAGATTAGATGGTTTCTGAAATCTCTTCCTGGTCTATTGATCTATAGATTTTTCTGGTTTTAAAGCAGCAAGATCCTAATGAAATAACTGCAGCCACTTTTCCCTTTAGGTGGAGAGTAAGTAGAGTTAAGACTCAGCACTCACATCAAACCAAAGGCAGAGGCTTTGTCATCTTATCCTTCTTTAGAGGAGCTCTAGGTTAGAGTTCAGGAGTGAATGTCTTCCTTTTCAATTCTCTCTCTTCACTCCCGGTGAATGTGCACTGGGGGCAAGAACATCTTTGCTAACCTTTTGTTTGCCCCTAATCTTCTGGTTACCCTGTGGTGCAACAGGAGCCTGATCAGTGGCACAGGAAGTTCAGAAGAGAGATAGGCCAGGAGTCTCTTCCCTACCTGTCTCTCTCCTATTTGCAACCTTGTTATTGGCTTGGCCCTCATGCCTTGGCCCTTCAAGTTTCCTGCCAATGTCTGCTCTTGGGCAGGATCACTTCAGTTCTTTTCTCACTATCAGGAAGAGCTCTCTGTATCAGGAACCGTGTCTCTGTACTCCATTGCAATTCCGTGACTTTATCTGCCATGTTTTGCTGACCTGGTGAAGAGCTGCGATAAGCCCTTTTTAGGATGAAATCCCCAGCAAGTCCTCCCAGGCTCTTGGAATACATTTTTATGTTATCCTCAAACCTCGCCGCCATCCAACAGACTCAGTGGTTTTCTGGGACTGGCTCCTACTGGCTTATGAGACTCAGTTGTTAAACTTTAAATAATATCCGAGCTGGTTGTTAAAAACAGTCACTATTAAAAATTAAATTATATAAACTTAAATAAATCATACTAAAAACAAAGTTTACAAATACTCAAAATTAACCACTTCCCAGTGATGTATTATGATTTCCCAGTACCTATACTCTGGAGATTATTTCTCTTTATTGTGTCTGTGGTGGAAATGCCTTAGAGTGGGGTGCACCTGCCCAACTCCACTTTCAGTGATTTCACATTGGCAGCTTGAAACAAGTCACGGTGGGAGTATTTGTAACAAGGAAGTTAACAGATGCAACAAACCAGGGCTGGATTTACCATTTTGTTGACTATCTAGACTTTAAACAATGATGGAGACATGTTAATAATGTGGGTTAAGCTTAAAATTGTGTCAGTCTGTGACTACATTATGAACAACACAGAAACTGAAGAAATAGTCTTCCAGTATTCAACACTACAGTTGACTTTTGGACAACATGCATTTGGGCTGCACGGGTCATGTGCACATTTTTAATGTGGATTAAAAAAAAGGTTACACCGGTGTGCCTGCCTCTCCTGCCTCCTTTTCCACCTCTTCTATCACTTCTACCTTTTCTGCCTCTACTACCCCCTATACCAAGACCAACCCCTTTTTCCTCCTCCCCTTCAGCCTCTTCAGCATGAAGATCATGAGGATGAAGACCTTTATGACGATTCACTTCCACTTAATAAATAGTAAACATATTTTCTCTTTTTGATAATTTTCTTAATTTTCTTTTTCTAGCTGTCTTTACTATAAGAATACAGGATATAATACAGGTAACATACAAAATATGTGTTAATTGGCTGTTTATATTATCAGCAAGGCTTCCAGTGAGCAGTAGGCTATTAGTAGTTAAGGTTTTGGGGAGTCAAAAGTTACAGGCGGATTTTCAACTGTGCCTGCGTTTGGCACCCCAACCCCGGCATTATTCAAAAGTCGATTGCATTATCCAATTCTAAAGAGAAGTTTTGTTTCTATCACTGATGAATGAGTGAAGTTCTAACATATATTTTTGTTGTTTCGCTGTTGCCTTATTCATTAATGTAAATAAAAATATCAACCAACATTCATGTCAGAATTACAGTCATATCATCAATGACTTGAGTGGCTTCATTGCCAGATTGCATGCTGATTAGGCGTTTATTTATAGTCTTTGTCAGATGTGGTTGAATTGCAATTACAGGTTAGCAATCAACACAAAAGTTTGGTAAAAATAAGCATAGCCATTCTGTGAATTAATTTCCATATAGAATTTACAATAGAATATGTTGTACATTACATTAATTGTGCTTTAATCTTTTATATCAGTAAAATGTAGAAGATACACATACACACACACACACACACACACACACACACACACACACACACACACGTATATATTTCTTTTTCCTGGACAGCTGGTTGCTAAATATATATCAGCATACCATTGCTCAGATCTTAACTCTTATCAAGGGTTAAGATATCTTATTTTTAAAGGTTTCTTTTATAGCCAGAAGATTCGCTTCAGGCAGTTTTAAGTGTGAAAAAGTTTGCTCCCATGACTCAATTATTTTCAAAGCCTCCTTGTAGAAATGACTCAAAATGTAATCCATCAATTCACCAGCAGGTGTCACTGTGGTGTAGGGTCATAGTCAGAAGGCGTCTCAGGGGTCTCACCTTATGCCCTGGAGAGGAGGACTGTTGGAATTGAATTGCTTCCAAATAAGTTACACACTGAACATCTCCTAAGTCACTTTCTGGAAGGAATGCGGCATCCAACTTCTCTGACAAAAAAGAGCGAAGTAAAAAGAGACTGGTTCTGTTTGCCTATTTTGTATTTTTAACTCTGCTATTATGTTTATGTTCAGAAAGCCCTGAAGACTTGTCTTTAGCTCTAGAACTGTATATGGCTTTGCTATTCTAAATGTGGCACATGGACCAGCAACATAGGTATTACCTCAGAGCATGTTAGAAATGCAGAATCTCAGACCCTGTCCCAGACCAGTGTACTGCTTAAGAATCTGCAACTCGGCCAGGTGCTGTGGCTCATGCCTGTAATCCCAGCACTTTATGAGGCCAAGGCAGGCAGATCACTTGAGGTCAGGAGTTCGAGACCAGCCTGGGAAATGTGGCGAAACCTTGTCTCTACTAAAAATAGAAAAAGTAGCCAGGTGTGGTGGTGCATGCCTGTAATCCTAGCTACTTGGGAGGCTGAGGCAGGAGGATCGCCTGGAGGCAGGAGAATAGCTTGAACGCAGGAGGCGGAAGCTGCAGTGAGCCGAGATTGTACCACTACACTCCAGCCTGGGCAACAGAGTAAGACTCTGTCTCAAAAAAAAGAAATCTGCAACTTCATAGGGTCACCAGGGGATTCTTATGCACACTCAAGTAAGTGTGAGAAGCATTAGTGTATGGGACCCCTATATTGGCAGTTACTGTACACAGCTATGAATAAGATGGAATAGTAACTTTCAGCTCATTGGCCAAGAGAATAAAGTTAATGGAAAAGGAAATGACACCTCCCAAGAGAGATGATATTTTCTTTAGTTCATATTGGATTGTCTATTTTTTTCTCTTTTTCTTTTCCTTTCTTTTCTTTTCTTTTTTCTTTCTGATGTAGTCTCACTCTGTGGCCCAGGCTGGAATGCAGTGATGCGATCTTGGCTCATTGCAACCTCC